AGTTATTAGATGGTTACATATTATATAAAATCATTATTTATTTTATAGTGGATTGTATAGTTATTCCAATAGTCTAAGCTGGACTTGGCGACTGTGTTATTATTATTATTCTACAGCACAGTGGGCCACAAGCTATGGCTATATAAAAAAAATKTATAAATATCAAAACCAATCTAACTATGCAAGAGCTTATAGGCCAAATAGTTACTAGTTAAACTTAGTAGGTAGCACCATAAAACATAATATTATGTTCTAATTAAAATATTGTATTTCAATAATATAAATCACTAAATCAGTACAAATTTACCAAGTGTTTGGCAGTTGGCAGGATTATCACAAAAAACAATGGAAATATTGTAAAAATAAACACATAGTACAAAATAATACGCTGAAAACAGCCGGTGCAGTGGTAATGATGGTAATATGGCGGTACTATGGTTGTGTTTGTACAGCCCGACCAGAAGTATATAAAACATTTACTAAAAAACAATTGATAGGCATGTAGACATTTTACAAACATTTTAGTATTTCTATAAAATAAACTTGCTAAAACACAGTATAAAATAAACTATAAAATACATTATACAATGTGTCTCATTGTGGTGTATCTTCAAGTAAAATGCGGACATATTATATTATTATTTTTATACCGAAATGTAAATTATTATATTATTTTGAATTTGGAGATTACTTGTTAACTTTATCTTTTTAGCTGATTTTCATCATTCAACTAGTACAATTAAAAATATATCATAAGCATAGGTTTAACATTTGAAACAAAAATGTTTTAAATCTGAGGTATTCCAACTGTGCGTGATGGCTCCCAGAGGCGTCGCGAGAGATTGTGAAGGAAGCTGCGTCAAAGTACCAGAAACCAATGTTCTACCTAGGTCTTGTATGATTATTATAAATATTATTTGTAATCATTGTGGAAATAAAAACGAAACACACCACATAACAATTTGAAGTTTTATTTTTAGTACTAATGTCATAATGTCACTGTTATTATCATCTGTGTGTTGTTTCAATTTTTTCATAATTATTTGGAAGTCATCAAAATATTGTGACCATCTAAAGAAGCCGCGGGATGAAAAAGCTTGAATACCTCTCAGATATATACCATCGTATATTAAATTTTAAATATAACGCATAACTTGGAGTTTGATTTGGGATTTTTTTACTGGTTACAAGACGTATAGAATATTAATACATCTAATTATAATAAATTATAATTTTTTACTATTTTCATCAGCACATTATTAAAATTAGTTTTATCTAACCTGTATACTGTGATATTATGTTATAGTACCTAAGCATTAAACAATAGTAAATAAAACTAAAAATTTCTATTGGTTTGATATTATTGTTCATTAGTTAATAACAATTAAAATTTCAAAAAAATTGAACTAATAATTACCATATCATTATAAATTTTTTTTTTTTGGACACTAACATTGATTTTGGGTTTCAATTGAATTTGAACTTTTCTTACTTCTGGATATTTCAACATTTGTGATTAAAAATGGCTGTTGAAAATATAATATTATGACTATTATTATAGCTATAATACAACTTCTAAGAATATTTTGTTATAATGCAGAMTATGAAATCCAAAAGCTAGAGTTCTATACAAACAAAAATCACATAAATTATATTGTAAGTTGATTACAATTAATAACATTGCAGTTTAAATACACAAAAGACAAAACCACATCTATAATAATACCAAAAAATAAATTTATTTGATTTCACTTACCATTTAGATAATATTGGACTAGACGATAAATATTAACATGGGCAGCATGGTATTAAAATTGCTACAAACATCTTTCAGAGTTGCAATCAAGTGTGACCAGCCTATAAAATAAAAATAATTGTTTTCAATAGTCATATACACAATATAATCATTAATATTTAAATATATATTTAAATTTTATAACTATAAGTAAAATACTTCAACAGAATTTTAACAAATTGTATTTTCTACAGTTATTTAATTTAAAATTATCAAAGAATAAACCAACTGTTTACAATAAGACTATTCTATGATAATTTAAAATGAAAATAATTAAATTAAAAAGAGTTCAAAATATTTTAACTAAACTTATCCATTAATCAATTTAATTTATTTAATTTATTTATGTAAGTCAATAAAATAAGTAGGAATATGACAAGCATCTAAACAACCCAGACACAAATAAAAAAAATTAAATTAATTTACAGTTATTCACTATAATGGCATAATATCTAATGCTTGGTTTCCAATAGATATAATATTTATTTTAAATTTCCATGTTCTATAAGGTCTTTATAAAAACTTTACACCAGCCACAAATTAAAACTAAATACAAAAGAAAATATAATTACTTGGTATGCATTTCAATTTACTACACATGCTTTTTACAACTAGTTAGTATCACATTGACAATCATTAAGTTTTATTCACACAAACTCAGCTCAAAGGGTAGGCAACATGGGCCTAGAGCGGCAATTTAGTAGAAAAGAGGCATTTCAAAACAATAATATTATTTTAGAAACGGCAAAATTTGATTTTGTCTAGTGCACTATTTTCAATTTATCTGGCCCTGTATAAACTATACATGGATTATTGTAAAGTCCTAAAAAAGGATTGTAGGTGCAAACACCAGTGTGCAATGTAACAGTAGTTGCTCACTGACCAAGTCAATAGCTACCTCAAAAGATTAGGTATGAATAGTCATCTGTTAACATATTACAAAGTATTATACCTAGTAGATGTAAGAAAAATGAAATCCAGATCACCAAATTATTGTTGTACTAATATTAATATATTATATATTTTAATACTTACCTAGACAATGGAACTTGCAAAATACCATAATATTGTTCAATGAGCTGCAGGCTACCCACGGTAGTATAATACATTACAAGGACGTCTTACAAATTTCGAATAATATTTAGGTAGGTACAAAAATTAAAATGTAAAAACCAAAGTGATGGAAAATAATAGTACGATTGGGTCATACAACAAGTAGTAAGTACCTATACTTGTTTATTTTTTTGTGTATCATATATCATTTTTTTTTTCTGGTCACAACTTACTCACAACAGATATAATAGGCAAATAGGTACTTAAAACTTAGATAAGTAAGATAACATTGTTTGACATAATTTTCACCCGACTTCGACATAGGACAACGTCGAAAACTTGCTGTCAYACTTATCTGTAAAGCAAAATTGTAGTTGCACCGGTTATTACTTATTATCAACATTGTATTTATCTAAACTACAATAACATTTGCCGGTACGTTCGAGATGATACCTTTTCATTGGACAAGCCTCTTATCAAAAACACCGCAACGTGTGATACTAGTATCGGTCATGTGCAAGTTACATACAACATTTCAAATGGTTACAGTATACGTCGATTTCGTGCAACATTTTAATTTGTCCCTTTTGATTTTTTTTAACCATTTATTGTTTACTTAAACGCCCGTTGTTCACGGCTTCGGCACACACGAAGTCAACTTCTGTGACCTTACCAGAACAACATATTTATTTTTCTTTGTATTCATTTAATTTTACTATTATGTCCAAATCAGCTCTCTCGATGGATACAATATCCACTGTCACTTGATATTAATCGTATGATATGGATCAAACAAATCCACAACCAAGCTGTAGTAGCTCTTCTACGTTTCCTATACCCATGGCGGTCACCTGTCAAGTACAAACGACTCAAATGGCATCTACAATAATTTCTCCACCGACCAATAGCTATGTGYTGACTTCTAGTAACCTGAGGCCTGTTACCAACTACACTCTCGTTGCTAGTTCACAGGTTCCTGTCACCCATCAGTATGTAGTCCAATCAACCACTCGAACAACTATACCTCAGTATGCTAACTCGAACAACGTTAAACATATTGTATCGCCCAGCACTCAACAGTCAAATGTTACTTACATGTTGCCATCTGGTGCTCATATTGTCAGGATGAACAATGTCGTAACTACAACAGTAACTGGAGAACAAAAATCTAATACGCAATATATTTTGACATCGAGTACTCCAAAAACAAATTCTACTAATAAATCGTCAATAGGAACACAATCTTCAATAACAAGTGTTTCAACTGACACAGAAAATAATTGTGAGTAAAAGCATTAGATCAAGWAGTTTTTAAGTGCAAAATACGCTTGGGTTTATCCAACTTTGTATTGTTTAATAAACTTCTCATATCTACCAACTTAAATTCATTGCAATAGTACTGTCGTTAATAGTATATGATGCTTAAAGTACCTACCTAGTACCATAAACATTATTCTATTTCTTACTATAACATATTTATGTATTAATTTAGCTGGATCAAGTGTTACGATGTCTAGAACAGTTGGTGTAAACACATGTACGTCTCCAGTATTTCAAAAAACTGGTTCAAATTTTCCTAGATCGAATGCAACATATTACAGCCCAATAAAAGGAAATGAAACGACGAAGATTTCTTTTCGGCCTAGTAAGTATCTTAATACAATGTAAAAGTGGAATAATCAATTAATTTATGAAATAATTATTATTTTAGATTTGAATGAACAAAAACCAGGCACAAGTTTTATATTAACATCAAATGATTGGTCCCGCACTAAAAATGTCCCCATATCAAGTTTACAAAAAATTAATACAAATTATATGCAAATACCATTGATTCAAAAGTCTGGGACTGTGTTATCTACTAACCCTTTGAAGTCTAATGTTGATACTCAACAACAAAAATCTCAGCATCAATCAATTCGTTCAGTAATTTTGCCATCAAATTACCGAACAGCTGTTTCTCCACATCAAGGCACTGATTGTAAATTAGTTCTAAACTCGATTAATGTAACAACCCAAGTAAGACATAATTATAGAATTATATAAAATAAATAATTAATTTTAAAGATAAAAAAATTTTTTTGAACAATATTATACATTCAAAATATTTTAATTAATATTAGTCTAATATCACTTATTTACTTCCATAAAAATAATTATTATAAATATTTTTAAAAATTGATATAAATCCTATTGTAGTTATATAATACAACAATACACTGTATTATTATAATGTTTATAAGTTAATGTTTTCAATATTTAAATGCAGAAAAAATATTGAAACGCTTAAAATAATTAATTATTTGGTTTTTAAATATTTATAATAATTTTTAACTAAAAAGTTGCATTTTACATTTAATTAATATCATTAATAATTAGAAGTAATTGTTTACATTTTTGGATACCTTATTAATATTTTTAATAAAAATTAAATTTAAACTAATTATTATTAGGTATTCCTTATTACTTAATAAAGCTCTTACAATTCTAACAATGTATACCATATTAATTTTATTTTCACAACTGGAATAAAAGTTATGAAAAGTACTGTTATACTACATGCGACATAATATTTAAAATTTATAATATTATTTTGTGTATTATTAGAGGAGGTATAATAATTATATATTTATTTTATTTTCACAACTGGAATAAACAGTTATGAGAAGTACTGTTATACTACATGCAACATAATATTTAAAATTTTAAATATTATGTTGCATGTAGTATCTGTTATACTACATGCAACATAATATTTAAAATTTTAAATATTATTTTGTGTATTATTAGAGGAGGTATATTAATTATTTATTTATTATATGTTATGTATAAAAAATATTATAAAATATAGTATTATTTAACTATTTAATTATTTTAAACTTACAATTTTCATTATACATTTTTTTAATGATTTTTATTTTATTTTGTTCTTAAGGGAATTAGTTCAACTGATAGTAAATCTAGYACTTCAAGTACTCCAGTTTCAAATAATCAACAACACAATACAAATTATATGCAAATTCCAATATCTCAAAAACCTGGAGCTACACTTTCTCGTAATAACTCACAACCGAATATTGAGAATAATATACGTATTGGACAACATCAAACTATTCGATCAGTTATTTTACCATCAAACTATCGAGCAGCTATGGTATCATCCCCACGAAAAGGTGTTGATTATAGATTAATATTAAAACCTGTAAATATTCAATCTCAAGTAAGTCAAATACAATTAATTTAAAATTTATATTATTATCAATTGATTAATTAAAATAAATTTATGTTCACAGGTAATAAGAAATTTGCCGCCTCCTCGACTTCCTGGTCCACGAAATGCTTCCCCGCGACAAACTACACAGCGACAAACATCACCACGACAAAGTTCCCAACGGCAAAGTTCCCCACAACAAACTTTACCTAGACAAACTTTACCCCGACAACCACCACTTCCTGTACGTCCAAATTCATTCCCAACCCGTGTTCCTATAACTCGTCCATSTGTATCTAGAAATCATAATGAAATAATTGCCAATTCAAAAATTAATCCAATTTCACTAAGTGAAAGGATTAAACATTTAGTTATTACAGAAAAATCTATACAAATTTGTATGGATGAAATTAATAATAAATGTCATAAAGACGATCCAATTTTAAACTTAACTGATGAAGCACTCGAAATTGTACAAGCTGAAGTTACTTATAGGTTATTTTATTTGTTAAGGGTAAGAAAAATATGATTTTTAGTGATACTTATTTTTAAATTAATTTAAGCCATAGTATAGTTTGATAACTGCTATTTATTTTTGCATGAACTTATGTAATTTGTAGGCTTAGCACAAAAAGTTACTAAAGACAAGTTAATATTATGTGAATTTAGATTTTTTATTCAAGATTTTATTTTCAATCTCCTACTGATTTTATATTGATATATGTTTAATTTTAATTTTGATATTTTGATATTTAGTTATTGTGTCTTATGAAACTGATTAAAATATTATTAAGTAATTATTTAATCAATCTTCTAGCATACAATCTTTTTAAACTAGTTTACATATTTTTTTTATATAAGTACTTATTAGTATCAGTTTTTTTTTTTCAATATCTTTTTACAGATCATAAAAACATTTGTTTAAATTTTTATATGATAAACTATTTCAAATGCATGCTTTTATTTCTTTCACACAAAAATGTGTTGAAATTGTTGCTCTCTTAAAATTGGTTAACCAATACTATACAATAAACAATGAGACATCTTTCTTTGTTTTTTCTGTACTTTCAATTCATTTCCATCAGAAATTGACATGGATTTGTAAAATGGATTTTAATTATTTCTTGTTACATTTTAGTTTTAAAAAAAGTTCTACTTTAAGTCTGCATGAAATCCAGCAAAAAAAAATTTGACATTTATAAGTATCATAAAAATGTGTGTAAATAAGTTTGAAATAATAAATGGTAAATAATAATATGGTTAAAATTAATAAATGTTTTTAAGTTAAAAATTAATATTGTTGTAAAAGTAAAATTATTTGATTTAAAATAGAGTTGTATAAATAATTAATAATTAACTATTTTCAATCATAACATTAGTGATTTTTACTGATATAAACCAACTATGTTCCAAAACTATAAATAGAAATTTTTGTGACAATGTCACATTTACGTCTATTATTATTATAAAAAATAAATTTTTTATCAAATGTCATTCGATAAAATAGCTCAATAGTCAATTCCCATAAAATATAAATGCTAAAACTATTGAATCGGTAAAAATATAGGAAAGATAATCTAAGTGAATGAAAAACTTTTCATATTTTTTCTCAACATTTAACTTGTAAATCATAGGTGACTTTTGTTAYAACCCAGCTATATATCAGAATTGTTTTTATACTTATATTTAAATAAAATAAGAGTTTTTACTTGTTATATATTAACTATGAGGGTATATTCTATTATAATGATTATTTTATTAAAACATGGTAAAAGTATTCTATAATTCATTCTTGAATAGTTAAATTATGGTTGTATCTTATAACTACAATATGGCTATTCAAGAATAAATTATATAATGCTTTTATAATTTTTATTTTTATTTTTTTTTTTTTTGTAGTTACATTATATTGAATTTTGAATAACAAAAAATATTTAATTTAAATTATTTTGATATATTTTAATTATTAAATATGTGTTTTAGGAATGTAAAAAATTTCTAATAAGAAGTCATTCAAATATTTTAACGGAGGAAGCTGTAGGACTAGTATCTGCTGAATATTTCGGTAGGTTTTTTGGTAACAAATTATGGCCACTATTTTGTTTAAAACGGACTGAAGATGGCTTATATTCTGATAACGAAGAAAATAGAATTTGGATAAGAAAGCATAATAATGTTAATCTTATTGGATGGCTAAAACATCCAAAATTTCGTAATCCAAGTTATATTCGAAAACGTAAGACCATTTATTTATTATTATTATTATTATTATTTATCTAATTTTCATTTATACAATATAACTTAGTTTGTAAATCAATTAGTCTTATTGCACCAACAATGACATGACATAATTTGAGCATATTTTACAAAATCATTCATGTTTTTGTAAATTTTGATGGGCATTAAGCAGTAATATGAATTATAAAATGAGATTTTTGTAAAACAAAATTAGATTCTATGACCAGGAAGTCTTGAATACTATTGAAAGCACTAAAGCATGTTTTTCAATCCGATTTTTGGTATTGTACAGCCATTAATCTATTTATAAAAAGAAGCTACCATTTTTTACTGATACTTCAATGTTGTTATTAAACTATAAATAATTCTTGATGTTTATAAATTGTATTAATTGTTACAAATATGTTCACTTATATGTTCTATTATTCAGTATACATACTATTAACTTAAATAAAATAATTAAAAATGTTATTTAAGTAATCATTCAAAAACGTTTCAATATATTATTTGTTTAAAAGGATGTCAACACATTTCTCTATTTCTCTCTGAAGTATGTGCAAAAAATAATTTTTTGTTACAATAATGATAATATAATAATAGTAATAATAATTTCAAAAATTAGATTGAAATGGCCTCTTATGAAATTTAAAGATAAGATTATTATCTAGGACATCCTGTCATGAATATTTTAAGATGTACAAACAATTTACATTTTTAAAATACTCTTAACTCATTTTAAAATTAAAATTTAACAATAAATCAATGAAATTCCCTAGATAATATTACCTTTAGATTTTTTAAAAGATTATCTCACATTAATTTTAGAAATTATTATGATTATAATTATTATTGTGAACATACAATTTGATATGCTGTGTGTGGGTCAGGGAAAAAAAAATGCACTAACATCTGCTTAAGAATGTTTTATCCATAATTTTGGTTTGTCTAAAAATAATTATACCATCATTTATGATATACCATTTTGTAAAATAAACACATGCACATTAAGATAATTATATTATATTTTACAGGTCTTTTTTTGAATCAAAAAACTACAAATCAGTCAAAACCTATAATAGAGAATATTTCTGAAGTAATGTTTGAATGTGAGTTACCTAATCAAACAAATCAAGAATCCATAAAAAGAAATAAACAACTACTATCTCAGAAAATTTTTAAAAATGCAAATAGTGATCAAGTAATGTTAAATAACACAATCTCAAATGAAAATGATGATATATTTATCCCATCATCGCATAACTTTATGAACATTCCAATAGAAAATCAAATGCTTTCTTCAAGTAAACAAATATCATCAACAATATTTCAGTCGCGACAAACAGAGTAATCTAGAATAAAATTGTGTATCAAAAGCTTTAATTTTAAATTGTATATAATATTATAATCTATTGTAATTTTAGACTTTGATGTATAATGTATAGATTTAGGTATATGTGTCTTRACTCTTGAGTTATTACTAGTGAGTTCTACAACTATTAAGGAACATATTATTTGATTGTATCAATAAAAATTAATTTTAAAATTATTAATTTAAAAAAATAATTTTTCAAGTATAATAATTATTTAATGTTTTAAAATATCTAAATAGTCAAATAGAACACAAATA